TCCTGCCCGGCCCCCACACCTCTCCAAGCGTGAGAGCAGGAGGAGGGTCCCCGGGGCTGCAGGCGGGGACTGTGGTGAGGATGGGCGGGGACAGCAGCGAGGACAGGCGGGAGGCCGAGGCTGCGGGAGGCCGTGGCGGAGAGGCCGGATGGCTCTGCAGCTGGGTGTTGGCCGTGGAGCCGTCAGTGGCCCTGTCTGTGTCCCGTGGGTGTCCAGGGACATGGCCGGGCCACTTCTTTATCTTCTGTCACCTATTGCTTCTGATCAGGGTGAGGATAAACTTTTCAAGAATCTTGGGATTTCATAAGCATTTAATACATCCGATTGTAATTCTAATTAAAACGATTCTTGTCAACTGACTTGAGTACGTGACAAGCCAGTTTGACACAGTTTGTTAAAACTCATTTTGTTCGGACCCAGTTCTCGAGGTCGTTTTGAGCTTGCAAAGCTGCACGTCCTTAGATCCGGTGCTGCCGTCCGCTGGGAAGTCGTGCGTCTACTTCTAACTGAAGTAACTGGACGTACGTGCACCGAGCGTTTGCTCTATTTTGCCTCTGGGACTGAGTCCCATGGTGGGACAGAGCACTGACCACGACTCCCGGGGCCCAGGGCCTTCGTGCGGACAGGGACGTACTCAGACACCGAGACATCTAGGCTCACCGAGCCCGGCATCTCAGCCGAAGCAAGAGCGAGGGCGAAGGGCAGACTAGGCCAGGTGGCGGGTGGGACCTGGGTCCCCGGGCCGGGCCGTGTGATGGGGACACAGGAGGCTCAGCGGATGCTGAGCTGTAACTGTGGCGTGGGTCAGGAAATGTACAAAGGACGCTGGTTTGAAGCCCCCGTCTGTTATTTTTTCCAGAAGGCGACGTGTACAAAGCCCAGAGTCCTCACCTGGAGACCCAGGGAGCGTCAGAGGTCCTGGAGGAGCAGGACGAGCAGGTGCAGGTGCCTGTGGACCAGGTGGGTGGGGAGCGTCACACGGGGGTGCCCGCTGCCGCCCTCCTCCTCCTCCGTCAGCCCCGCCGGCCTGTGGCCTCACTGCCCACCCCTCCCCCAAGCTGCCCCGGCCTCTACGACGTTCTGCGTCCCCTCCCGTCGGCTCCGGCTCGTTCTTCAGATCCTGCGCCGCACATTTCCCACCTGCCCATCTCCTCCTCACGCTCTCTGCCACCGGGACCCTTCTTAATACGTGTCACGGTCTGTGATGGCTCTCGATAATCATTTGTGGGGTGATGGAGGGACAGAGTGACAGAGAGACGGAACGATGGAGTGTGATGACGGGGGATGGGGTGATGGGGGACGGGGTGACAGGGGACAGGGCGATGGACGGGGCGATGGGGGACGGGGTGCTGGAGGGACGGGTGACGGCACGAACGGTGTGTCAGACGACGTGGCTGGGAATCGCAGTCGGCCCCCTCCTAGCTGCCGACCTCGGCCTTATCCTCCTCCTCCGTGCGATGGGGCTGCGTCTCCAGCGGGTTTGTGTGGGGCTAAGTGAAGTCACAGGTGAGTCCCCAGCCCCGGGCCTGGGGGCCGGGGACCCACGTCTGCGGTTTCCGTCTTCCTGCCTTCACTGGGTGATGGCGTGCTGTGAGCTGGGGTACCGTGGAGGGACGCGGATGAGGGGCCACAGGAGGGTGGGGAAGGCGCGCTGACGCCAAGGCCTGTGCCCGGATGGAGGCGAGGACCCAGGGCCCAGCCCCTCCCCGGCCTCCGGCCACCACCGTGCACCGTGCTCCTGCACGGGGCCGGCCAGGCAAGCCCGGAAGCGGCCGTCGTTGTCTGCAGGGTCCCCCTGGGGGCCCTGACAGTGAGCTTGCGGGGTCCGTGTTGAGAGAACTTGCATTCCGCCAGACGTCCACGCTGGTGTCCGCGTCCCATTCTCGTGCCCCCGTGCGGCCCAGGCCCCACACGTGCAGTGACCACTGTGTCCCGGTGGCCGGCGAGCCTTTCTGCCCCCTGCTGGCCGGTCGTCTGTGCTCAGAACGTCGCTGTTTATTTGTTTCTATTTTTCTTTCCTCTGCTGTTTTCAGAACATCGCCCCGCGTCTCAACGCACCGACTTCCCGCTTCCTTTCGGCGTTTTGAGTGCTGTCTTCACGTGTCCTGTTGAATTTCCTAAAACATCAGTAATGTTATTTATTCTTTTCCTTGTCATGACAGTGACCAAAAGATCTGGCTTCTCTCGAAACCCACACTGACAGTTTAAATGTTTTTATTGCGCATCTGAGCATTTTAATAGTAATAAGTGAATTAAGACATTTTAGGCAGCTAGTTTTACACCAAATTTATCATTCCCTCTTCGACACTGATTGCTGTTATTATGTGATTGTGTGTTTTCTGGGTTGTCTGAGAGTGTCTGACGCAGGTTTTAAACACGGGTCAAACCCCAGTGTGACAAGTGCTGTTTCTGTGACCGTTTGTGGACAGGAAACGCTCAGTTTCCGATGCGACGTGTTTGATCCCCACTGAGTGGAGGCTGTGGAGTGATTGGGGTACCCAGACAGCTGTGGGGAGGAGGGCGGAGGGCAGGGGAAAAGCAGGCCGTCTCCCGGTGATGCAGGGGACGGGCCCGGAGGGAGAGAGAGAGGCTGGTGGTCAGCGCGACATCAAAGCCAGTTCCGTGACGTCGTGGACGAGGCCAGAGACCCTGGCTCTGAGGGGGTCAGTTGGCGGAAGGCCTTGCTGCGTGCGAGCTGGGCAGCTGGGCGCAGCCCGTCCACTCGCCTGCTGTGTGCGCTGTGTGACTGAGTGAGAGAGCCGGGTCCTCAGGGGAGGAGGCGCTGCTGCCACTGGGGTGCCCGCAGCGAGGGGGCTGGCAAGCTGCGTGCGGGGCGAGCCGCCTGCCCTGTGTGCCAGGGCACGGACAGGTCACCCACCTGCCGCCCCCCACGCAGGCCGGTGTGCAGCTGCCGCTGACCGCCTCCGCTCGCGTGGGCGGGAGAGGTCCCGCGTGATCGGGTAGCGCTGTGAGCTCAGAGCGGCTGGACAAACCGGCCGCCAGGGCTGACCCCCGCGTCCTGCAGGGGGGCCGCGTGGTCAGGCACACTGGGAGCCAGGCCTCCCCTCTCTGAACCCGCCAGAGCTGTAAATAAGCCTGGAAATGCAACGGCCTTGCTGGCAAGTGACCCTTTCTGACTCCTGAACTCGCCCACAGCTCCCCGCTCCCATGTGCAAGCAGAGGGAGAAATGACGGGGTGTGCGGGAGGGTGCTGGGCCACCCCGCATTGTCTCCTGGCTCTTGTCCTCCCCAACGAGGGCCATTTGTGGGACGGACACTCAGGAAGTGTGTTCGGTGTTTCAACGCCAGTGGAGTTTCTGATCTAAAACAAACCGTCAGAGGGTGCGATGTGTCACACACGGCTTCCCCTCCGTGCGCTCTCAAACGGCTGCGGGCTGGAGCCGTCCGCAGGGAGAGGCACGGAGTCCGCGTCTGGATGGTTAGGGGCGGCCGTCAGGTGAGTGGCGAGGGCGCTCAGCGCTCTGGCGGCGGAGGTAGGGCTGTTCCGAGCGTAGTGCAGTGACCAGGAAGACTGTCAGAGGGCGCGATGTGTCACACACGGCTTCCCCTCCGTGCGCTCTCAAACGGCTGCGGGCTGGAGCCGTCCGCAGGGAGAGGCACGGAGTCCGCGTCTGGATGGTTAGGGGTGGCCGTCAGGTGAGTGGCGAGGGCGCTCAGCGCTCTGGCGGCAGAGGTAGGGCCGTTCCGAGCGTAGTGCAGTGACCAGGAAGGCAGCTGTCCCCGAGCACCGGGGAGGAGCGCAGAGATGTGTCGGGGGTGGCGGGAAAGGGGGCTGGGAGTCTCCGTTCCGGGGCGACCGGACGCCGCCTTTAACAGGAATGTGACTCAGGCGTTTTGACCACTGAGTCCACAGCGTCACCTCAACGTCGCCTTGTGCCGCCTGCCGTCGAAAGCTGTCACCTGCGCCTCTCTGACTCGTCACGTGCAGGCCTCCGGGCCCACTCGTGTATCAGCGACGACCCTGGGCAGCAGGTTTAATTCTTGGAGAAAATCAAAGTGTCTTCTTCAAGCAAAGTCGTGGCAGAGCCGAGCACCTAGGTTTCCGACGTCTGGTTAAGAATCGAAGCTCTGAGGGGAGAGAAGCCGCCAAGCCTTCGATCTCTTTCCCCGACACTCACCACGCCAGGTAGGACGGGGATGGGCTGCAGGGGGCAGGCTCATCTTTACCGGGGGTCCGCGTCGTCACCCCCGTCCATCTGGTCCCCACAGTCAGTCTTCAAGGTTGGGGTCGCAGCCACTTTGCAGTGTCACGCAGAGGGGCTCCGTGAGCCTGTGCGACCGCCCCCACCGGGCCGTGAGCGGGGGGCCTGGGCACGAGCCGCGGCCGGCGACTCCTGCGGCCGAGTCCTCCTCCCCACGGTGGACCGTGCTGCTCGGCGTAATTTCTCGGGAGGGATAGTGACTGTCCCCGCCTCGCGATGCCATGTGCTCGGGTCATCGCGTGCAGGGAAACCCCCTGGGTGGAAGGTTTGCAGCCCTGAAATCGAGGTTTTGAGGATCAGAGAGAGAGAGAGAGCGTCAGCTCTTATCCCTCGTACCATGGCCGGTCGTAATAATAACGAAGCCAAAAATACTCGGCTCCCCCTTCCCGGCCGCGGGTCCGTCCTGCCCCCCGAGACGCAGCTTCCCCTGCGTGTCGCTCGTCTGTGGTGTGTGTGTGATGTTGGCCGTGTTAGGTTTCTGGGGCGTGTCGTCTGCGTCCTGATCCTCGGCCCACGCACGAACCGTGACCCCCTCAGGGGCTGGGATGAGCCTGGTCCTTGCGTGCCCCGTACGGCACGTGGGACAGCGTCTTACGCGCAGTGGGTGTTTGCTGCGCGCCGTGGCATCGCGCTGCCGGTCGGGTGCTTGAGCGTAGAGATCGAGTCCCGGAAGTGGCAGTGACCTTGCAAAGTCATTCGCGAGCACGTTGTCACGGACACTGTTTATGGGTTGTGTTTTGGACACTTGATCACAAGCGTTTCCGTCATCGTTCACATTTTTTCATGTGTCCTAAAATGTCTACATAACCTAGAATTCGCCGTTTTACCCGTTTTCAGTGTGTAGTTCAGTGGCATGAAGGCATTCGCGATGCCGCGTGGACGTCCCTGGCGCCTCTTCCTCCCCACCAGCAACTCTGTGCGTTGAGTGTGCCGTGCGGGGGCGTGAGTGTTCCGCGTGAGGCGTGAGTCTGCCGCGTGGGGCGTGAGTGTGCCGCGTGGTGAGCAGACGAGGTGACGTCTTGGCGACGTCCTGGTCTGGGGGAGCTTTCGGGTTTTCACGAGTACGTGTGAGGTGCGCCAGGCGGACGCACACGCGCACGTCTGTCTCTGTGCGACGCACGAGCTCGTGGATTTTGGTTGAGGCTCGTGCACACAGACATGTTTTCGCGTGTACCGTCTGTCACACCAAGAACCTGGCCTCGTCTTCCTGCTTTGCGGAGAGCTTCACCGCGAATGGACGCTGAACTTTGTGACGTGTTTGTCCTGCGTCCATTGTCTTTTTCAGTCTGTTGAGATGCTGAGTTGAGCCGATCGATTTTCAAACGTCGAACCGGATCTGCCCGGGCAGGAGCCTCCCTCCTCGAGGACGCCTGAGCTTTCCCCGCGTGTTGGTGCGGGGCCCAGCGTCTGCTTTGAGTGTGGTTGGCCCACGGTTCTTTCTTTAACTTGTAACGTCTTGGTGTTGATATCAGGGCGACGCCGGCCTCATGATGCGGGGGACCCCACGGTGTTTTCCTCACGACCGGACTGCACTTAGGGGGTTTGCAGAGCACCCCGCAGAGGCCAGGTTCTGTTGCACCTTGTCAGGGGATAGTCACATGACATCCCTGATCATGTCAGCCATCACCTGGTTCACTGTTGTTATCAGGATTCTCCACTGTCAACTCACCATTTATCCCTTTTCCTGCCCTGGTGGTTGAGAGCAAGTCTCTCGGCTACTGCCTCGGGCGGTGGGGTGGGGACCTGACTTACATATCTGCTCCTAAGAATTCTCCTGCAGGGCGGATTTGTTCTCATCTCCAGTTCATTTGTTTACTCAGCCACTCATTCGTATCGCCGTGGACCGCCGTGTATTTGTTTTCAGTGCTGGGGCATGAGCCAGCCTCGCGTTACCTGTTTCGGTTCTAATGATTCCCGCCGTGGCCCCTGCGATGCTGTCAGCCTGGCTCCTGGCTCCCTGTGACAGGGTTTGCTGTTGTGAACACTCGCTTCGTTTCCGTGACTACGGGTTGCTCCAGGCCCTGGTGTACTCTCTCTGCCCTCACTGTTCATCCGGGAGCCGTGTGTGGTTCTCGGCGCTCGGCACTCACTCACCTGCGCGCACCCAAACGTGGCGGAAACCTCAGCTCCTCGCCGCGGCTGCTGCCTCCAGTGCTCCGCCCGGGACAGCAGCTCTCGGCCCTGCGTGTCCTTGGAGCGCCCGTCTGTCTGAGGTTCCCGCCAAGCGGGTCACCCCGTGGCCTCAGCTCTGAAGTCGAGGCTGGAATTTTGTAGATGACCTGGCTGCTTCTTGTCAGGATGTGGGTGGCCTCTTTGTGGTGCTTTATATTCGGAGGTGGGGCCGGGTCATTTCTGTCACGGGACATCTTTGGGAAGACAAGGGGGTGTTGGAAAACCTGGGGTGCCCCGGGGGGAGGTGGTGTGGGTGGGGCCTGTGGTCCCCATTTCCAGCTTGGTCCCTGCACCACCCTGAGAGTCCAGCAGTCTGGGCTGGACCCCGAAACCAGCCTGGTGGGGGCTGGTCTGGCCCCTGTGATCATGGGCTTTGTCCATGTGGGTCTGCGCCCCAGGCCAGGCCGGTGCGAGACCAGCCCCGCTGTGGGTGGAGAGGCAGGTGCCTCCCGGCACGGCTGTCGTGGCGAGCCACTGCTGACTGTGTGACCTCTCCGGTGCACTGGCCTTTGCTGCAGACCTCCGTCCCCAGGGCCCAGGCGTAGCGGAGCGCCAGTCCTGTTCAGAGGAAGTGCAGGCTGCTCACACGGATGGTTTCTGTTTCAGGAAGACAGGTCGCCCTTGAGACACAGCACAAAGGAAAAAGGTATGTCACGCCGATGCCGAAGAGTAAGAACGATGTATGTAATGACTCAGCCGTGGGCGAGGGCACCTGTGAGCCCTGCCGTAGACAGCGGGTCGAGGTTGTCTCTTGAAATGTAGTTAGAACATGGAGAGGCCGCTCAACAGAGAAGGGCCTCGCACCACGTCCTTGCCGGCTCCTCATAAAAAACCCGCAGCGATGACGCTACCAAATCACAGGTTTCTGTCCTCATGTTTTTCATGATTGTTTCTTTATAATTCTTTAGTTTCTTAGTTTTAGAAGCAGTTTATAAAGGGTTTTCATGTATAGGTTTTTCTGGTGTAACTATTAGCTATGAAATGTAGGAACACGACATATTATAGCATCCAATGACATGATGCATTGCAAATTGTACAAATGCTGTGGATGTGTTAACCCCTTGTCGTTGTATTACGTGCGGTGGGTATTTCACAGATGAGGCGAGGAAGCAGGCATAGGGAGGGACCCCTCCCAAGGTCACAGGGTTACTTTCTACATTACTAACTGTCACTAACTCGTAACGTAGCCAGAGCTCACCCCCAGGGCGTGTCCTCTGGGGTCTGGTGGTCCCCAGGGTAGGGACGGAAGGTCCTGCAGGTCATTCCATGGCCTTGAGTCGTGGCTCAGACCTTTATCAATAACGTCCCTGCTCTTTGGAGGTGATTTAGTCCCTAAAACAAAGTGACTGCATCGTTCTTTTTCTTTAAAGTGTGGTTACTACAATCCTATGAGATACCAGGGTCCTGTAAGATAAACCGGTACTAAGGGTTACCCGACACTGCTGGTCCCCCCCTGCCTCTCTCCCATGTCGTTC